ATATATATACGCTGCTGAATTGTGAGAACTTCCATCGCTATGTTAGCGACCCGATGTACCGGAAATTAAATGGATAAAGTGGCACTCGGTGATGTGGAATGGGAATATAGGAGCCAGAAGGAAAGTTTAAAATTCTTTCTAATCGCGCAGCAAAAATGAGAAACATTAGAATTAATTTTTTAAAATACAATTTTACAAAAATGTTAATTGTGTTATATATCAGATAAATTGCAATATTTAATTTGCTAAATGGAATTTATTTATCATAATATATTTTTTAACACAGCGGAACATATCGCATAAATATACTATATCACATCACGCAAAATGGTTTTTTTAACATATTAAATGTACTAAAAGGGTTTTTTCATTCAAACGCATGACTTTATAAACAAATTGATCATTTATCACCACTTTTTCTTTGTCTCCGTCTCTCTTCTTTTCAACATGAAAAAAATTTTTTTATTAGATATTATCTACTCATAAATGAGAGATATAAATAAATTGTTTTTAATAAAAGTATAGTATCAACCGGAATAAGAGAAAGAGAGAGAGAGAGAGAGAGAGAGAGAGAGAGAGAGAGAGAGAGCCGAGATGCAATTCTTCAGGCTTATTGTTATTGTTTATGTAGTGTAGAACTGACATTTAAACTTAAAAAAAAAGAATAATTTTGATGTATATATCTATTCAGAAATTAAAACTGTCCGACATTGAAGAGGCGCCCTCATTGAGCAATTCCGTCTCTCTTCTCTCCTCTTTCTTTTGGATGCTCTTCGCAAGATCGTTGCGTAAACGTAACGGAATGCACACAAGTGTTTTTCAAGTGCTCCAGCATGTTGTCAGCCAGAAAGACTAAGCGCTATAAAAATAGCTCAAGAGCAGAGCTATTTCTTCTCCGCATAATATAAGTCAATCTTTAGACTTTGTTATTCGCACGATAATCAATGGTTCGTTGATATATGAATCCATTTCACCATTCAATCTTGCTTGCATTCCTTTTGCAATCAAACATTTTGATAAAATATAATTATATTCTATAATTATTATTCTTTTCTAAATTTCTATTTAGCTTCGTTAAATATTGTCGTAATACTTACACGATGTCGAAGCAACCATGAAACCATATACATTTATTTACATCGTATGAAACAACTCATATGAAGCATTGTGTAGGTTCTCGCCTATTATGGGACGGCGTGAAATATCGGACCGAGTATCGCATATCGCTCGCCATTCGAAAGACAGTCAATGACGCATCGGCATGTCGAATCCTCATTGAGAATGCGCCTGTGAAAATAAGCGCTCCGATTCGTTCCTGTCGTGGTGAGACGCTGGGCGGACAGAGCCTCTCGTCTTTTTTCACTTCGTCGGATGTTCGCGTGGGTATATACGAGCGATGTCTATCCGGCCGGTGTGTTAGAACGAGAAGGTGGAGAGATAAGGCGTAAATTATAATAAAGCCGCACGTAGATCGTAGCTCTTGAACGTTCTTCTCATACGAAGTCGTTCGTTCACGCGCGTCGATGCTTCGTTGGGATTTAATGACTTATTGGCATGTTGAATCATCATTAAGAAGCGCGAAGCGTCTGAACGCGCGCATTGCGATTTCTTTCTTTCAACAAGCTTTCAATGAACTCAGGGTCGTTTTTTCCTTTTGCCTGGGGCATGCCAGTCGCGTCGCGTGTGCGGATGCTCGCGCGAACGTCCCTTCGTGACAGAAAGTGCAAGTAATAATACGCGTGCAGCCGGCTTCGTCATTATTTTCTACCGTTTGATCGGCGCGCGTGTACGCCACGCGTGTTCCGGTCACGGCACGGGCGAAAGATCCGGGTATCGACGTGCAAATGACACCTTAGATAGACGCCAGGATCGCTGTACTTGCACACTGCGTGTGTGTATCCGCCCGATCGAAAGCTATCGCTTAAGGATATCGTGTTGCAGGAATTTTAATTTATTCCGAAGGTTCGCAAAACGCGAACACCTATCGTGCATAATTTTCTACAATTCGCGCGCGAGAGATGATTTTTTTTTCATAGTTTAAACGGGAAATGTTTACGTCACTGCAATATTGCATTTTCTATCGATAGTTTAATATGCGATATTTAGCGACAACACGCCGTACGTCGCCCTCGACACCACAGGAATGTATACTCGCATTCGTTGTATAACGCGTTCTTATACGCCTTCGTAAACTTCGTGCACACTCGAGACGCATCTTATGGCGAGATAAACGTTCGTCCGAGATCCCCGTGTAAACATTCTGACGAAATCGTTGGCATTTTACAGATTAACATTTCAGTGATCGGAGATAAATAGCGGTTTCAGCATAGAGCAAGACGGTAGATTAGAACGATTCATGCAACAGAATAAATTTTCTCACACGGACCGATTTTGCTGAAGTCAAATAATTTTTAGATCATTAAAATAATTACGTAGGAAATTCAGACATGACGAGCAATGCTGTTGAAAGTTTTGACATTCTAGCAACCAGTTTGAGCAGCCTACATAATTATTTTAATAGTCCAACAAAATTATTTTCAGATTTGTATTTAATTGAATTTTTGGATATTTCTGCAAAAATCATATTTCCCGAATAATAACTATATAAAAAAACAAATTGTGGAAAAATATACACGAAAGCACGATTTTACTGAAATATCTAAAAATTCAACTAGATATACACACACACACACACACACACACACACACACACACACACACATTTAAAAATAATTTTGTTAAATTATTAAATAAATAATTATAGAATATCCAAACTGATTACTAAAATGTCAAAACTTTCTGCAGAATTTCAAATCATATATTTCTTACATAATTATTTTAATAGCTCTACAAAATTATTTTTCGGTTTCTAGCTAAATTTTTAGACACTTCAGCGAAATCATTCTTTCCGTGTAGTAATATATTATATTTAATTGCAGAGGGAAGGCTCATAAAATAGTACTCAGTTATATTCTGCTAAATAT